TATATATATATATATATATATGTTTACCTCCATTTCTCACCCTCTGCCATTTCCCATCCTTTTCTCATCCTGTCTATGGTATCTGCAGTTGCTTTCTCACATTGTATTGATTCACAAAATATCTTAATTAATCTATATACTTTCAGTAGTAAGTTCAGCTGATATATATTTATTTGTGAACACAAGTTGACTTTAGGCAGGAAACTCAGTGGGTAGAATGAATATACTATAGAATAGCACATAGCTGAGGCTATATAGCTTACTGTAGTCACTAAACAGGTATTTTTTATATACCTTTTTTTAATTTCAAGAAAGGCAGTTTTAGCTTTAATAAATCAAAATGAAAAAAATGTTAAGAGAACTTTGCTTAATACTTAAAAAGCCAGGAAACAGGATTTTGTTCAAATAGTAGGCACATGGACCTGTCTACAGCTCCAGAGAAGACAAAACTCCCTAACATTGGAAATCAAAGCATAGAATATCAGTAATGTTTTAGTCAAAAGTCATAAAATTCTATTTTACCAGTTCAAACTCATGTACTATATCTTCCGTTGTGGTTCAATCTTTCCGTTTAAATTCTTGAAGATAAAGTTTAACTCTGGACTTGTCTCTACCATTAAGCTGGACATTTTCCTAGTTGTTTTACAACTCTTATTTCTGTGTATCTGACTTTAGTTTTCCTGGGATAGCACTCCCTTCAGAACTTGTTGGAGAGCAGGTCTGGTGTTGGTAAATTCTTTCAGATTTTGTTTATCTGAGAATGTTCTTGTCTTCTCTTCCTATATGAAAGATAATCTTGCCAGATACAATATTCTTGGCTGAAATTGTTTTTCACTCAACACTTTGGATATATTTTCCCATTCTTTTATTGCTCACATTATTTCCAATGAGCGGTCCACTGGCAGCCTGATGGGACAGCCTTTGCAGGTTAACTTGACATTTCTCTCTTGCAAGTCTGAGTATCTTGTCTTTGTCTGTGGTTTTGGTCATTCTGGCTATAATGTGTCTTGAAGAAGATCTTCTTGGGTTGATCCTATTTGGGGTCCTTTGTATTTCTTGGATCTGGATCTTTTTTTAAAATTATTATTTATTTTATTTTATTTATTTATTCAGTTATTTTAATTTGACCAGAGAGAGAGGGAGAGAGAGAGAGAAAGGGACAAAGGAAGCTGCCAGGTTCAGGATTCAGACCATGGTCAGCCATGTGGGAGTGTCCAGCACCTTAACCACCACGCCACCTGCTGGTCCCAAGGGTCTGGATCTTTGAATGTCTCTCTGGGTTTGGGAAGTTTTCTTCCAGGATTTCATGGACTAGATTGTCAATGCTGTTATTAGTCTCTTCACCTTCTGGAATACCATTTATTTGGATGTTTGGATGTTTAATGGTATTATTTATCGATGATAAATGATAATATTTATCTAGTATTTCTTGTATATTATTTTCATTTTTAGGGCTATTTTCTCAGTCTTTGTAGTGGATTTTACTAGTTCAGAGATTCTGCCTTCTATATCTGAGATTCATTTTTCTGTACAATCTAGTCTACTTTTAATACTTTCAAAGGAGGTTTTTGACTTCCTGTATTATAGCCTTCATCTCCAACAGTTCCATTTGATTCTTTTTTATGGTGTGTATTTCCTCTTTCACCTCTAATGAGAACTTCCTCACCTCCTAGAACTCAATTGACTTTTTTCTTCTGGTGTTCGTTGTCGCTCTTCTCTTCCATCTCTGTTAGCTTTGTCACTATAAATATTCTAAATTCTTTTTTTTCCTTTTGGAGAGGTTTTTGCTATAGGGTGTGTGGGCTCACCAGAAAAACAGAGAGAGACAGAGAGATAGAAAGCAAGAAATCACCCCCCAGGGGGATGGTCATACCTCAGTCCCTTCTCCTCTTGGGATCTTGGGCATGCACGCACACACACCCAGCATGAGTTTAAGCCACCAGGTCTGGGACTCAAACTGCGGTCGGCTACATGGGAGTTTGGCAAAATAGCCATTACACTAACTGCCGGTGCCATACTCTAAATTCTTCAGTTAGTGTAATGGCTATGTCACTGAACTCCCATGTAGTAGACTGCAGTTCGAGTCCCAGACCCGGTGGCTTAAACTCATGCCGGGTATGTGTGCGTGCGAGCCCAAGATCCTGAGAGGAGAATGGAGAAGAAGGGATTACGGTGTGGCCATCTCCCCTGGGGGGGGGGGTGATTTCTTGCTTTGTTTTCTGTCTCTCTGTCTCTCTCTGTCTTTCTGGCAAGCGCATGCTCCCTATAGCAAACACCCCCTCCCGCCCCCCAAAAAAGAGGAGTTATTCTTTTCCCTTGGGGGGGAGCTATTTTCTTGGTTTCACATATTTCTTGTGCCCCTGTGGTGATTTCTGGTCATCTGATGTGTCATTCATTCTTCCTAATTTCTAGAAGATCAATCTGAGAGATCAGAGGCGCACAGGAGGATTTGGTCTACAGACCCTTTGGCGTTGCGTTTTTCTCCCTTTGTGTCACAGATTCAGTGGGAGTTGAGGAATATGAGGACCCAAATAATATTTGGATTATGGCAGCTTTTCACTTAGACCAGTCTAGACACTCAGTGCGTGGAGGCTGAGCAGCAAAGTGATGAGGGAAAAGAAAAAGGATAAGTAAACAGAGAAAGAGAAAAAGAAAAAAGAGAAAAAAGGAAAAAGCAAACAAACAAACAAAATGACAAGGACAGAGTGGGCTCTCCCAGGGTGACTTCTCAGCAGAACATCTTCATTGCTCTTATCCTTGAAATCACTAGATCTCAACTCTCATGGCGGACTCTCTTCTTCTGGCCCGCCCTTTCTGTTTGCCTAGATGGGAAGAGGGAAGGGGAGGGGATTATTACCAAGATAAAGGAGGATTTCAGAGCCAAGGAAAAACTTTAAGAAAATTTTTTAAAAGAAAAATTAAAAAAATGTAAAAAACAGAGACAGAGAGACAGAGACAGAGAGAAAAGCACAGAGCGGGCTCTACCAGGGTGACTTCTCAGTAGAATATCTTCATTGCTCTTATCCCTGAAATCCCTAGATCTCAGCTCTCATGGTAGACTCAGTCTTCTGGCCCGCTCTTTCTGTTTGCTCGGATGGGACAGGAAAAGGGGAGAGGATTATTACCAAGATAAAGGAGAATTTCAGAGCCAAGAATAACTTTACCTTAAAAATTTTTTTTTAAAAAGAAAAATTTTAAAAATGAAAAAGCAGAGATAGAGAGACAGAAAGAGACAGAGAGAGACAGAAAAGGAGAGTGGAGGCTCTACCAGGGGGACTTCTCAGCTGAAAATCTTCATTGCTCTTATCTCTGAAATCCCTAGATCTCAGCTCCCATGGCAGACTCAGTCTTCTGGCCTCCAAATCTGGGTTTTCTGACCCCAAATCCTGTGTGTGCTTTTTTACAATTCCACGCTGCTTGTGAAGTGACACTGCAGAGAAGCTTTCTATGTTGAAAACTAAGTCCTGTATTGGAGATAACCCGTTGTTTTCTTTGATCAGATTTCAAGCGATGGACGTCTGAGGAGCCGAAGCGGAGCCCCCTTGCCTGTCTTAGTTATGGCCCTGTATGGAAGAGTGTTCGAGAAGGATCCTCCACGCTTAGGACAGGGACCTGGGAAATTACAATGACCTTTACCAGGGCCTTTTTGAGATTAGCCTGGCAAAGAGAAAGGGGAAAGAAAAACAATTTTGGGGTCTGCTTAGAAGAGATGTTATAAACTGACAGAAATCACAAACTTAAGATTATAAAAGTGATAAATAAATGCAAATTTTACATTTGGTATTAGCACAGACTTGTTTGTGGGAACTGCATAATACGTCTTCCATGTAGGTGTGTTTAAGTACATGTAAGTATCTGGGACATGCATTCAAATGGGAGGATGGTCTAGAAAAATCCTTTTGTAGTCATGGCTGTAATGTATGCATATGTGGTTTCTGTTATGTGAAGATTAATTGCATATATCAACTTGACTGAGCTGTTGATACCCAGATAGCTTGTTAAACATTAGCTTGGGGTGTGGCTGAGATAGTATTTCTAAAAGATTAGCACTTATACTGGCAGGCTGAGCAAGGCAGATGACCCTCCCCAGTGTGAGCAGTATCCAGTCCTTCGAGGGCTTGGATAGAATACAAAGGTGGAAGAAGGTCGAATTTGCTTTCTGCCTGACTACTTGAGGTGGGACACAGATCTCCTGCACTCCTCACTCCTGATCTCCAGGCCTCCAGACCTGAACCGGAGTCTACACCATCAGCTCTCCAGCTCTCAGGACTTTGAACTACACCTTCAGCTTTCCCGGGTTTCCAGCTTGCAAATAACAGACTGTGGGACTTCTCAGTCTCCATAATTGTGTAAGCGAATACCTTATAATAAATCTCTTTTTGTAGATAAATCTTATTGGTTCTGTTTCTCTGGAGAACCCTAACTATACATTTCATTTGCAAATATAGAGTGAGCTTTGACTATGCAAAGGTATTTGATACTAGGTAATTAAGATATAGAAGTTAATGAACAAGGGTATTTTTAAAAGTAATATGAACAATTTTTTAGCTAATTATAAAATTGCTTTATTATTTCTCTATTAGAACCAATTACTTTCTTATGGTCTATTTGTGTAGAAATTAGATACTTGGAATGGAAATGAAAACAGAAGTAAATTATCTCCTTCAGACCACATCTCGTTTCCTTCTGAAATTAATCTTGCCTAAAATCTACCCAGTCTTAGCTAAGCCTCCTGTGGTACTCAGGAATTTGTTGCAGCCTGTACTAGGCTGGGAGCTTCTTTAGAGAGAGGCACTGTCACCTTTCCCCCAGCTACCTTTGGCCTATATTCCCTAGGTCCGAATCTTATTTCCACTTGGTCACAGATTAACTCTGGGAAGAGACACACACGAGAACAACAGGGTTTTCTGGAATGTATGAGAGCAGTTGAGGATCACTGAGTTTGAGTTTTCAAACTTATCCTCACTAAGTATGACAACTGCATTTCTAGACCTGCCTTAGTGATCATTCCCATTCCATGTAATTCAGTCCAGTTCCAGGAAACCAGAAACATTTTAGGCAGCATAAAATGGCCTTCGTTGGGACCAGCAGGTGGCATAATGGCTATGTCGCTGGAATTCCATGTAGTCTACCATGGTTTAAGTCCTGGACCTGGTAACTTAAACTCATACTGGGCGTGTGCACGTATGTGCCCAAGATCCAGAGAGAAGAATGGAGAAGAAGGGATTGCGGTGTGGCCATCCCCCCTGGGGGTGGGATTTCTTGATTTCTGTCTCTCTGTCTCTCTCTGTCATTCTGGCGAGTGCATGCGCCCTATAGCAAAAACCTCTCCCTCCCCCCCCCAAAAAATAGTCTTCTCATTCTTATTTTTCCTGCCAGGTAGATGTGAGTTCACACTGGTGAAAATGGAAGGGTTATATAGTCCTATGATTGATTGATTCAGTCTCAGTTTTTTGGTAAGCCTGTGTCCTTGTACAATAACCTTCACAAGTGCTGCTAGGCTTTTTCTCCTGTGTCCTTAGTTGAGATAAGAACAAACTAGGTGGGGCTAGCTAGTGCTGGGACTTTCTCTTGCCCCTCATCAAAGGTTAGAGGGATTGGAGTTCTTTTCCCCACTGGGCTAGGCTCTGGAGAAAATAATTGCCATGGAGGGCAGGCTTTTGCTAATAGAGCAAAACAGAAGGCCCTGGCATCTTTCCCTTCCCCCTGCAAGAAGATTCTTGCCCTCAGTTTTGCTTCTTTTCCTTGAGAGCCAGGTGAGGCCACTGGAGGCAAAACTCACAGGAGTCTGGAGCCCCTTTCCCTCTCCAGAGTTTCACCTCTCAAAGTTGTCCACACTATTCCCAGGAAGCAGTCAACTGTGTTCTCCTGCCTCTATGGTGCTGGTTCCACAGGCAGCTCTGCCCCTGGTAAACACTCATCCTCAGTATTTGACCATCTCTCTGATTCTGGGCTGCAGTTTGTCCTGTAACTTTAACTCTCGGAAACATTTAAGAAAAGTTGTTGCTTTTCAGTTATTTGGCTTTTTTTTTTTTTTTTTTCCTTGTGGGAATGTGACAGATGACTGCCAAGCTCTTTACAAGTTGGACTAGAAACCCAATGGAGGGAACCAGCAGTTAACGTGATGGCTATGTTGCTGGACTCCCACGTAGTCGACCACGGTTCGCGTCCCGAACCTGGTGGCTTAAAACTCACACCGGGCGTGTGTGTGTGCATGCCCAAGATCTTGAGAGGAGAATAGAGGAGAAGGAATTGTGACATGGCCACCCCCTAGGGGGTGATTTCTCGCTTTCTGTCTCT